CATCTTAAAAGCCCTTGCCGGCATCAACTGGGGCTTCTTCAAGGAGGACAGTATTGCCACCTACCGAACCATCACGCGCCCAATCCTCAACTACGCGGCCCGAATCTGGTACCCTGTCGCCTCACGCACAGCAATTGCCAGCCTTCAAACCATACAAAACACTGCACTGAGATTAGCCACCGGCTGCCTCGAAACGGCCCCGATCGCCCATCTTCACCAGGAGACCGGCGTCCTCCCATTGTCCGCTCATCTGGACCTGGCTTGTGCCCAGTTCCTCGCCAGCGCCCTCCCATACCTCATTCCACATCGCTTCTGCTCACCTTGGGGACCGCCCCATGAAAGCCTCCATCCTGTCGAGGTTGTCCTCCTTGTCACACCATTTTTGGCAAATGGTATCATGTCCGCCGGTGCCTATGGAGAGGCCAAGCGCTCCCTCCGCAGGGAGATCGCCTTCCGCGTTGCGGCGACTGACGCTATCAACGCCGTCCTCGCAGCCCCACCACCGCCGATTGCATCAGTGGAGGCCTCACTCCCTCGCCCCTACCGCTCGGCGCTATCCCAGCTCCGCTCGGGATACTGCAGCTCCCTGGCGTCCAACTCCGCTAGGATCTGACACTCCCCTAGCGCTGCCTGCCCGGAGTGCGGGCATCCCCTACAGGCCGCTCAGCACCTCTTCGCCTGCCCCGCCTTCCCCACTTCCCTTAGCGTCTCCTCACTGTGGGACAGCCCCGTGAAGGCAGCGGCATTCCAGGCCACCCTCCCTGCCTTCGCCCATCTCCCCCCTCTGTACGAGCAACCCACGGGAGCACAGCTGGTAGTGAAACACAATAAGTAGCACGGCACGTATACCGACAACGCGGATAGAGCAAGATCAGGATAACTTAGTCTGATGCCGATAAAACAGATACTAAACGCGACGTATTGCTATAGTATACATCGGCTTCCGAAGGCACGTTAAGGTTCGGACGAGAGTTGCGCGCATCAACTCTACACATCTCCCCCCTCATATTGACTTGATAGTTTACAAACAGTTAATAAAAATCAAATATCAATGCGTATCAAGCAAACTAATTTCCTACATTCGCAGAAAACAAAGGGTTCTGTTTTATTTACAAACTTCAGCTCTGAAATCTGATAACAGGTTTTACAATCCTACCATACCTAGTTTTCCTAGATATATTGCCACCAGCCGAGTTCTGGGCACATGGCCCGAGAATATCTTGCTGAGGCGTAATCACTGGCACAGGTGGCAAGTGCTCCACAGCAGCGGACTCCCCGCTCCTCGACGCAACAGGACACTCCCCTCCTCGATCTTCCGTCTGCTCCCTCGACTTCTCAGCTAGAGGTTCGACGTCAGGAACCACTTTCAGGAATTCTCTATTTCACACCAATTAAGAGTTCGTCCCCGATCGCGATGCTACTGAAGTAGGATCGCTCCAAGATTTGTCCCGGGTAGTTTAATTCTTACGGACTGACCATCCCTCAGCTCCGGCAGCGGTCTTGCACCGTGTTTTTTCTGAAACTTTCTTCAGACTTCGCTTTGCCGGATGCGTCCCTTTCTCTTACTCTGAGCAAATCTGGCCACTCAGGCGCCAGTTGAGAAGACATCGCGGGTAACGTACTCCGTGTGCGTCGACCCATCAGCAACTGAGCCGGGGAGCAGCCGGTCACGTCTAACGGGGTGTTCCTGTACGCCAGGAGAGATGTAAGGGGGTCGTCCGTCTGCAGGAGCCTCTTGGCCACCTGTACCGCCCTCTCGGCGCAGCCATTAGCCTGAGGGCGAAAAGGGTCAGATACAGAGTGCATGATACAATAACGATTTAGAAAATTTCTGAACAACAATGAAGTAAATTGAGGCCCCTCATCTGATCGTATATGATCCGGTATCCCATTAGCGGCAAAAACCTTTTTCAAGCCATCAATGACAGTCGCCGAATCTGTATGACGCAAATGCACAATTTCGAACCATCTACTGAAATAATCGACAATGATGAGGTAATTACGATTCCTCAAGTGAAACAAATCCAACCCTACTTTTTGCCACTGTCGTTCCGGCAGCGACGAGGCTCTAATTGGTTCTTTGCGATTACTTCTACGATGAATTTGACAAAATGCACACTTCTCAATGAAGTTCGGCAAGTCCTTTGCTATGTTCGGCCACCAAACTGACGACTGATCGCCCGACGCTTAGATCGCCCCTTGCAGCATAAAAATCCGATAGATTCCTCGACACTACATCCGGCCATCCATGCAAGGTGAAAGACTTAATTCTGGACAGGATTGGGTCCTGGGCTTGCATCTGCAATATTTGAGAAAGCATCCGATCGGAACCGGGAAAATTAAGAACTGCCGCTGCAGAGTGCGTCTCTACCTCTTGCTCCAGAGCACAGACGGTGCACCTCTCACCAGTTTTCTTGCATCTCGACAAAGCGTCGGCGACAACCAAAAATTTTCCGGGGACGTACTCTGCCACTGGCGAGTATCGGGCTAACCTCATCAATAAACGCTGACACCTCAAAGGAGCGTCCGGCATCGTTTTACTATTTATAAGTGGTATAAGAGGCTTGTGATCGGTCTGCAGCGTGAACTCAAGCCCGTTGAGATAAGAGTGGAATTTCTCACAGGCCCACACGCACGCTTATAAGCATTCTTTCTCGATTCGAGCGTAGTTTCGCTCAGCTGAGGTCAGACTGCGAGAGCAATATGCCACCGGCTTCCACCTTCCACTATGAGACTGCAGCAGCACGCCACTTAGACCGTACGAGCTCGCATCAGCCGACACTACAGTAGCTTTGCCTGGGTCGTAGTATGCAAGCACGGGGCAGCTACTTAGCACTTTTTTGATTTCTTCAAATGAACTGCGCTGCGGCTCGTCCCAAATCCACTGTACATCTCTTCTAAGCAGCTCATTTAATGGGGCCAAAATTATTTGCGCTATAGGAACAAATTCAGTCAGAAAATTGAGCATCTCGAGTACTTTACGCGGCTCACATCTTTTGGTGCCTCTAACTGCAAAATTGCGTCTACCGTTCCTGGACTAGGAGATATTCCGCTGTTGCTGACCATGTGGCCAAGAAATTCTATCTGCTCTTTTTTAAACAAACACTTATCTCTATTCAATTTAAGACCGCTCATCCTAATTCTATCCAAGACTTCAGTCAGTGTTGCGTCATGCTTTGCCGAACCATTTCCGAACACCACCACATCATCCATGTACACAATGACATCTTCTATGCCTTCGAGAAGCGCCTGCATTTTCTTTTGATAAATTTCTGGAGCAATGTTAACTCCCATGGGCAATCGTTAAAATCTATATCTACCGAATGGAGTCAAGAATGCGGTAAAATCTCTAGCGCTTGCGTCCAATGGTATTTGATAAAATCCTGAGACTGCGTCAAGTTTAGGAAAATATTTCGCTCCTGACAACTTATAACTAGTTATAAGACAAGTCCTCAAAGGTAGGAATCTGGAACTGTTCTCGTTTCAAGCTACGATTGAGCTTCCTAAAAGCAACGCATATGCGAACTTTCCTATCTTTTCTGTTGACCGAGCGGACTACTGGAACCATGGGACTTGTCCACTCGGTTGGAGTGTCTACTTTCTCGATTATGCCTTCATTGAGCATATTGCTGATGGCATCTTTGACTGGTCCCAGCAAAGGGATTGAAATGTTCCTGGCAGATTTCACGGCAAATGGCGTTGCGTGGTTTTTAAAGTAGAATTTCACCGGAGTGGTATCCCAGGTACCAAACCCAAAAAGAGAACTATCGACCCGGATTTCGGCTAATAATTTCACTAAGCCTAGCGCCACAGAAGCTGCTCTACTCAATATATTGTTCGTCCTATTATCACGCGGCATCACACAAAAATTTTCCTGAAAACTTTCGCCCCCTATGAAATAAATAGCCCTGGCACACGCCTCAAATCTGCAATTCCCCGCTGGGAGTAAATATTCTCTTTTTTGCCGCGCGTAAAACAGGCCTTGGTCGTAGCTGCAAAAATTCGTCATAGGCTAAAAGGCTTACATCAGCTCCGGTGTCAATTTTAAAATTTACTCTAACCTTATTCGACGAGTCACTAAACAATCCACTGCTCTGTGCTCTTAACCATACATTCACCTAGAAAGAAGGCGTCGTCGTGGCGGTCCTCCCGAGCCTCCGACGCGTTGGCGACTTCCTGGACTCTGCCACTGAACTTCCAGACTTTACTGCGCTCCTCCTGACCGCTTCTCGTCGTAGGGCGTGAATTTAGGCACATTCTGGCAAAATGATTGAGTTTGCCGCAGTTATTGCACTTTTTGCCGTACGCAGCGCATTTGCCTTTACCATGATCAAGACCGCAGTAAGGACATCTTCGGTTTTCCGGTTGAGGCTCTACTCCTGGGGCCATACTCTCAAAACTCGCTAAGTGAATGTGAGTACTTACGCTCTATTTTCTTGTCTATTATTGGCGGATTTTGCTTGAAAAGCCGTCAATGATTGGCTGATGAACTTACGATCTCTTAACTTTTTTTGAAAGTATAGGCCCTGGTCTAGAATTTTTGAGGATCACGCAGACATCACCAGCAGGTTTTTCTTCCTTCTCCAGGCGTCGACCGACTCTTACGTCACAGTATGAGCGCGTTTACTCCATGACGAGATCCAATGTGTATTTTTCCCGGTTGCACAGGTACAGATGCTCGAGTTTTTCATCGGTTATTCCTGCGACGAACTGGTCACGAATTCGTTCCTTCTTAGCTGCTCCAAATTCGCAGTCTTCCATCAAGCGATATCGTTTTTATTTGCAATTGTAAATAAAAAATGATTGGCGGCACCTCTTATGGTGGGAATAATAAGAGGTACCTATATCTGCAGGCGTCGATACTAGCCAATAGCGGAAACGTCAAGTATGCAGACAGTTCTTGTCTTCGATGCCTATTTGTGTTCTGCTTTTCACATTCATTCACTCCAAACACAAATTTACTGCAATTAGTTTCATCATTAAAAATGAAAGACTAAATTCACAGCGACATTGTGTACTTGACAAATATTACAACAGCCATTCCGAATAAGCATACCCAGCCCGTTAATCATTATCGTCGTTCAGAAATATTCCCCATCTTAAACCGATATTTTTTTCTGACAGTGAAATGTGCATAATTATAAAGGAGTTAAAAGATGCATTTCAGCCTCTGAATATTATACCCAGGGCAGCACATGAAGATTAATCTCGCAGACTGGTGCATAAGTACACCAGAAGCGATTATTCTTCTCAATAATATGCATGAAAATTTCTCTAAAAACCTGTACGCCTAAGTTGCCTTGACTCAAACGTATTAATCACATTCAGCTTCAAATCAAATGAAACCTAGAGACATTTTTATCCTATTCTAAGTCTAAACAATCAGCACGTTAGATCTAGACAAGAAAAGCTTGATGTCAAGCTTAGTTATTTAACATAAATAGATTACATTCACATTCAGTCAGACTCTAGAGTGGAAGCATAAGAATTTCATCACCATTTATTAGGAACATGGCGAGCGGTGCCAGAATACATAACTTAGAGAGCTCGCCATAACTTATTATTTCAACACCCAGAAACACGGTAATAAATCAGACTATAACTTCTATTGGAACAATGTTGCGGTTAAGAAGAAAAGAAGAAAAAAAAAACTTGAGAATTAATTAGACGAAAAACTTTGAGGAATCTATAAGAATCAGAGAAGGGAAATTTTACAGCTGCCTCTTTGCTTCAAAAAAGTTCGTAAATTTAAAGGAAGACAATAAGGATAAACTCGCGTTGAGACGAGATAATAAAAAGCAGAAGACCTGCTTCATGTATACAGAAATTTCAGGACACCAGATAGGTTAAGGGAGTAAATAAAGCGGTACGTGTGACCATAAAAACGCACAAGAGAGAACAAAATATAAATTATCATTTATGAATATAGTTATAGTAGCGGAAACCGCGCAACCATGCAAGGAAAACTGCTTATTCCACGATCATCTGGGTATTGAAGGGCATGAAAAACGATTGTACTTACTAATCTCTAACTCCTGACGCAATTAGCTGCCTTTGTGCACCAGCAGACGGAAGGGAGCATAAATAAGTCAAAGTAACGATCCATTTCATAACTTACACTAGTAGTTTAACCTTCCTTCTGAGTTAATTCACAATTTCCGATATAGATGTAGGTTCAAATGAGTTTTTCTAACTGAATATTCCTTCATTCGAAACATCCAAAACTGAAAAGCAGCTCATGATCTGAAGAGATACTTCTTTACACGTTTCGACAGTTGATCATCGTATCACGAATTGAAGGGAGCTTAAATAACGCTAATATAAACCTGTCACAAGGTCTACACTAGACTGTAATGCAAAATTAGGCAAGTAATCTACATCAATTTGTGAAACCTACTCATGATGGTGGGCGCACACTCAGGCCTCATTGTGCAGAAATCATTAAGCGCATAAGAAACTGTGCTTGGGGCAACATCGTACATGAGACAGCAAGCGGGCACATCAGCAGGATACAACGCATGGTTAGGCTCGAGGCCGGGCAACGACACGGTCAAAGACGCGCCGCGGGTGTTGTAGGAGTTCTGGTCATGCAGCACGCCGTTGTCGCACTGGAAGGTCCTGTAGATGATGTTCTCTTCCTGGTCCACTTGCTTGCAGGGTCCTTCAATCATGCTGTCGGTAATAGTGCGTCGGAGTTGCCTGTAGGACGGGTTGGTGGTGACGCGTTCGACGTAGTGGCCCGCGTGTGTGTCGGGTTTCAGGGCGACGGATGAGCGGCTGTTGCCCCGGCGCGGCACGTACCGAGCCACGCGTGTCATCGAACGCCGGCCCCACAAGTAGTCTTCCGGGGGACCTGGTGAAAAATAACGCCATAGAGGATCACAGGTCATAAAGAACAATCGTTGTGTAAAAATATCATTAACAACTAGACGGGTTTAGTTTTTCGCGAAGTGAAACCAAACTGTGACTAAAATAACACATTACCTAATAATTGGAAGGATCGCTATTTATAAGCAAGTTCCTTCAAGCATACTTACATCGCACACCACTAATGTAAATCACATTAACATCATACGAAAACAGCGTTAAAAATATGCTGAAAATGAACACATAAAAATAGTGCCAAAATCTGATACTCACAGAGGCGATTGTCCTGCAGCTGGTGATAATGAGCTATGTCAGTGTACTGATAGCAATAGCCCAGGATCAAAACAGGCAAGTGAATTTTTGAAGCAGCGTTCACGATGAGTCTATGGCCAGCCTGTCCCTGGGTGCTGCCGTCCGCAAACACGTGGTTAACGTGTAGTAGAACTTTCTGTGCCTGTAATTATGGACACATTTCTCTTATTAAAAACATAGGTAATATACGGTGTAATGCAGTAGAACTTTCTGTGCCTGTCATAAGCAGATATCTAAAAATAAAATTCTGGTTCACAGCATAAGATATAATGGCTTTCAAGTCACACTGAGCCCTCACCTCCTGTACGAGGTTGGCGAGATCAGACAGCAGCGCCCGCCACACTTTGCCGCCGTTGAGGTTCACGCCGCTCAGCTGCGACGCCATCAGCCTGGCTTCCTCACAGTCGGCCGAGTGAGCCATCACCACCACATTCAGCAGCAGCTTGCCTGTCTCGCACGCTTGCTGAATAGACTTTAGCAGCAACCGAGAGCTGCGCGAGAAATGCATTATAAATACACCAATCGATACTTGGTTTTGTATCTACCATTTGAACTGCAAAAATTACAATATCAGCAACCGTTGGTTTGTCTCGCACGCTTGCTGAGAAGACTAGTAGCAGGAGGGACCAGTGTGAGAAATGCATTATAAATAAGCAAAGGAAGACTTGGGTTGTTTCGAATTTATTTACTGTTTGAACTGCATCGTTTTCTATTTTGAAACATGCGACTTCAGTAACAAAAGAATGATTCTGGAGAATAAAAAAATTCTCTCAGTAATACAATATTCTCTTGTCTGTCACCTTAATAGACAATAAAGTCAAGATAAACTACCAAAGTTAAATCCTGCATTGCTGCAATATGGAGCAGCGGGCAAACAACAGAATTTCCATGAACAGATTGAAGACAGAGACAACCGCAACTGAATATTTAGTTCTACGGACTGCGCAAAGCGGCTTGCTGCCAGGTCCATTTAGGCTCATGGTTTCGAGGTCAAATTATTGGTTTCCTGAACGGAGGTCTACTCCAGTTTTGCCCCCACACTTTAATGTACTGCTTAATGTACTGTAAAAAAATTTATCTGGGCGATGGGTTAGCTAAGCATAGTTTTAAGGCGGATGGTCAGGAGGCGGTACCATCATGTAATTAATTATACTAGATCTCCAACAGCAGCAGCGTCATTCGTTGTCAAATTCTACAAGGTATGAAATGATCGCACAGCTGAAAGCTAAGGTAAACAATTCTATGGTGAAAGCTTGCTTTCGGTAAAATTCAGTGAGGATAATAATTTAAATTAGGAAGAGAACCGATGATAAACTTAAAATATATGAAAAAATTAATTGAGAACTCGACAACAGATGGCGAAGCTAGTGGTTTGAATATGAAAGCTAGTGATCATTAAAGAGATATTTTATATGCAGCCGAGCCGATGATAAAAACATGAAGGTAATAAGAATAAAATATTATTCCTCACTATCCATAAACAAGAACCAAGTCGCCGTCCTCGAGGAAGGCCATCACTTTAGGGAACATGAGCTTCTCGTTCTTCTCGTAGGTTTTGTGCAGGAATGAGATGGTCCAATCCTGCATGGCCTTTGTCAGACCACGCACAGCTGACGACCACGAGCTCGACGTGTCGAGTTCAGCCTCGTCCTCACCATCGTAGGGGGCTGCGGTGCTCACGTCTGAACATTACAAGATGATAAGATAGACTACAAAATTATGGAGATTATACTTGTAGGTGTTATTTAAAACTATAACGAAGCTTTGAAACTTCTGGAAGATTTGTAAGTTCTGAAAAATTCGAAAATTCTGGCGGTAATATAAGTTTGAGCTTTTCAAGACGATCATAATGATTCGATAATCTTGTCCTACAAGATATTCCCATTATTTAAATATCTCAATTTAAACACAATGGTATTTACCTAATTTTTAGACATTCCGAGGCGCTTGAGCTCAAATGTAATCATTTCAGGAAGATTATATATGACTTGAACAGCTAAATAATATTAAAATGGTATAATTCTCTAATTTAGACCAAACCTGAAGTTTCAGCAAGAGTTTCCTTGAAGGAGATGTGGGTTTGACGCAGCATTTCTCGGAATAAACTGTAAAGGAAAATTAAACTTGTCAGGAGACGACCAGTGCATTGAAAAGCAGTTCTTGTGAATAAAATGTGGCATATTATCATTGCGAATTAAGTAGCCTCAATTATATAAGCCAGACTATACTATGGTATTCTTCACAATACCTAATAATCTAACATGCAGATGTTATTTGTTTATAACCATACCAAATCACTTGCATACCAATTCAGGTTAGATACCATTGAATATATGCTACATAGCTGGTGTGTGCCGAGCACTAATAAGGTTACCCATGGGCGGCGCGTACGTGTATGTATCCCATTAGTGCCGTGTCGTATACACACCTCATTAGTCTCATTAACGAGGTATACACACCTCATTAGTCCCCTCATTAACGAGGTATATACACCTCATTAGTCTCCTCATTAACGAAGTATACACACCTCATTAGTCTCCTCATTAACGAGGTATACAGACCTCATTAGTCTCCTCATTAACGAGGTACACACCTCATCAAGTTCCTCATGGGCGGCGTGTAGACCTGGTAGTGCTCAAGATACTTGATGTTGGGCGCAAGTCGCTCGTTCACGTCGCGCTCGACGTCCGTGCCGGGCTCGGCCGTGTAGCTGCCCAGGAACGCGTGTAGCGCGTGCAAGAACAGCACGCACTGAGAGTCATTTGATGTCACCAGGCCCAACTGGTGCAGTAATTATCATGTTAATTTCGCGTAATAATGATAATGATAAACGTGCTAATTGTGCGTTTATTTGGGGAATAATTATGATGTTAGTAACCTTCACTTGTGGAATAATTATGATATTTATTGCAAGCCTAAATGCAAGCCTCTCAATTTCACATAGATAAAGACTAAAAAGGGAGAATCAAATGGAAATCTATAGAGGACAAAGGATCCCTGACAATAAACAGAAGTAGATGAATTGTATATATTATAGTTGCACAAGTTTATGTTAGTATAGTTTTTAGTATGACATCATTTCTGTTACTTATGTACATTATTCAAATCATTTTTGAAGTTTCTAAGTAAAATTCATTAATTTCATGCATAAAAACAGAAAATTAGATGAAGAATAAACAAGGGAATTATTTAGATGTTTAAAAACAGTGATACTATATATATATCTTGTTACACACATTCAGGAATGCACTCACATAAATTTCTTTTGTGAGTGTTTCAAACTGATGATGCACTTTATCATAGTAAGATGGCCTCTCGACTACATAATCAGGGTCTCTGAGGAGCCCAACAAATGGCAAGGCACTGCCGCCCTTCACACGAGACTTGTTTTGGGTCTTAGGGGTTTGTTTTGGGGCTTTGGTAACTGCCGAAGGAGGAGGAATTTTGGTAGGTACATGACTCAGTTTAGATTGCATCAATGCATCAGTTTTACTCTTCATGGCTTTCTCCTTTGCAGCTCTCTGAGCTTCTTGAATTGCTCTTCTCTCTCTCTTCAAATCAGCTTTGGTCTTGTCTGATCCGTCTGAAGTAGGAGCTGCTCCTTGTGGAAGATTTTCTTTATTGCTTTCTTTTGCAGATGATGTTTTATTTTGCTCCAACTCCTCTTTTGTGGCCTCTCCCTTAATAGTTTTCTTAGCTTTCTTGGTTTCTTTCCTTGCTTTACGTTCAGCAGCAAGCTCTTCAGATGTCAATTGCTCACCTTTGTTTATGGAGTTTTGTTGATCTGATTTTAATACTTCTTGATCCACTGGAATAGAAACTTTGTTACAACTGACAACATTTGATGCAGTCTTACTGGCTGAGGTATCTTCATAAGAGTATCCATTTAAAAGATTGGCTTTAATTGCAGCCCGAGTTGCATTAATTTCATCAGGTGTGACTTGTGTGGCTCCCATGGAAGCAAGCATGGCACACAAGCTGCTTATGCTGTCATTGGAGCCACTACCATCTTGGTCAGCCATGCTGAGCAGCGTTGATGACAAATCACTGTCACTGTCAAAAATGTTTGAGTCAACAGTTAGATCTAACTGGTCTATCTGAGTGGTCTTGGTAATTTTGGGAACAGCTCCACTAGAGGGCTTTCTTTCAGTTGTTTGAGCTTCACAATTTTTATGCTGGGACTTATCTTGCAACTTTTTGCGACTAGTGACATTTGCCGAAAGGCTCCTTTCAGTTTTTGGAGCTCTTGGGGGTTTAGATTTGGAGCACTGTGGGGGTCTGGATTTATCTGGATCAGGCAGTTGGGCCTCAGATTTGATCTTAGACCCACAATGTGGAGGGGGAGCTGGCCCAGGTTTTTCAAGGTATGCCAGAACTCTCTTGACGTACTCGTGGTCTTCAGCAACCTCTTGTGCAGTCTTCTCGTGAACACTGCGTCCGTGTACAGGTGGAGGGTGGGAAGTGTTGCGCAATTTTGGAGCTGCAGCAGCTGACTGGTTGCGGAAGGAAGAATGTGTGGAGCGGTGACGACTCTTGCCTCGACTTTTGTGGCGGTGGCGGGAGCGACTCTGAAATAACAGCAAGTGTCAATGCAACAAAGAAAAATAAACAAATAAATACTTAAATAAAAATCAAACTATATTTCATTGTTTGTTCATTTTTTGTTTGAATAATTCCCTGTAATAAAAAATCAGAATTTACTGTAAAATGTCACCATTATGGAAAGAAGTCACTAGGTGCCACAGCCAGAGGCAATGAACAACTTATCTAAAGATTTTGAATTTTGATAGAACAGACAAGAAGTAATTGTGCAGTGCAACCCATCAACACTAGCATCATGCAAGGAGAAACATAATTATATTATAAAAAATGTCAAGCTCTATGGGTAAACTTGACAAGATCTTGATAAAAATTTGCTACCAGTGGAATATTATTAAAATATTGTAGCATGGCAATCTCTTTGTCAATAATTACAAAGAAAAAATCTAAAAGCACTCCAATTGAAATGCATACATAAATAAGTGCAAAAGCTATCAAGCTTATAGAATGAATTCCAAGATAGCTCTTATAACAGAAGAGCTTTCTCCTAAGTCCCTCAGATCTTGATGAGTTTACTTGGCAAACTGTGCAGCAGAAATGATAAAGTGACATCCATGAACAAAAAATAAACATTAGCAGGCACATGGAGCTTCAATTCCAATCAGATTAATAAAATGCAATGTTTTTCAACATAAGCTAGAACATAGTTGATTAATGACTAATAATATTTCAGGCTGCATTAAATCTTTAATATAGGTAATTATATTCATCATCTGCTTCAGGAAGGTGCTAAAAAAGTTCCTGATAGTGATTTGACAGATATAAAATTATTGGGAAGCCTACAAAGTTCATGACAAACACCTGAACATTGCAAAATATAACTCTAGCAAATAGAAGGCAAATTTATTGCTAGCAAATTTACAATATTAAAGATAAATAAATAAAAAAGTCACTAAATTGCTTTAAATTTCTAAAGATAAATAAAGATTAAAACTCAAGCTTAAAATGAGCAAGAATTATGTAACTGAATGCTTTAGATCTCAATCATGCAATAGAACCTTAGAATGTCTATCACTGTAGGTATCAATGGAAATGACACAGTGAGAAAATGAGCCATGTTTTGAAGAAAACATGCTCATATTCATAATCTATGAATAAAAAATGAAAATATTTTCATTGGAGACTTATTTCTTAAGCTCAATGGCATATAAGGATATTCAACACCAAATAAACAATTACAGTAGGTAGTGTATAGCTAGGAAGATGTGTAAAAAAATGAACATTGCCAGTGAGGAGTGTTTGGTGAGAAGGGATAAAAGCTGCTAGCTACTTACGGATGGCATCTTGCTTGCTTAGCTTTAGCCTGAATTATGAAGCAGCATGTGGAGAAAGCACAAATGCATGTATTAAAATGGGAACTTTGATGAAATTTACTATTTACAATACAGTGATAATTATCAAGTAATGATAATATAATACACAGCAAAGAACAACATGCATGGAATAAAGCATTAATTATAGGATTTCAACATAATTTCATGAAAATTTGACCCACAGGAGAAATGGAACAAATAACAAATTGCTAATATCTGATAGCTAGTCACAAGTGGTTTGAAGACATAGTAAATACCGTAAAATGGGGTTACTTTGACCGGCGGGGTAACTTTGACCACTTTTCATTTTTTTAACAAAAACCCCCAAAACTCAAAAACGATTCGACATAGAAAAATTTTGTCAATGGCCATCAAAGGCCTAATACTGAGGCTACGTAACACAATAGAAAGATTTAAAAAGTTTGCTTATCTAATAGGTTAAAAAATTAAAAATGTGACCCACAAAAAAAGAGCTATTATTCAAAGCCTGTCAGAGTACCCCCTCCAATTTTTTTATTTTTTGGTAAAATAACTCCAGGTTTTGATGCATTGTAGTAGAACTCTTCTAGTTACATATGCAAAAGACAAATTTTAGGAAAGTGTCATAGTTTGCAAATGGGGGGCGCCGCCCCCCAATGGGGTAACTTTGACCACCTAATGGCAGCCGTGATGGGGCTTGGAAACATTGACCGGCTTGGAAATTAAGTTGAAATTACCATAGGTACCTATATAACATATTTTATGTTTGATACACCTATTAATGTTTTTTTCTTTATGTTTCAGACTCTACAGAGTCTTATATATGGTAATTTTAACTTGTCAAAGAAACCCCAAGAGCTGGGGTAACAAAGACCATCACTTTTTTTTGAAATTACATCAAAACTATGAGAGGCAGGAGCCAGCAATTTATGGTGAGTAAAGCTAGAGTATAGACTTGTATTCTGCATGATTCAATTTAAGTTTAACTTATCTAGTAAAAATGGCATTTTGAAAAAAAAGTGGTCAAAGTTACCCCATTTTATGGTACCGTATACGGCTTTATGTATATGGCTCCTGGTCAATGCAAGTTCAAAAATCGGCCTAAGAAATGCTGGTCGTTTCTCCGTATATCCGTATAACTTGCAAACAAAGGCAAAATCAAAAAAATTGTCACAAGCCAAACATCGCCGTTGGGAGGTTAGGTTTCTATATGCAAAGTTTCATTTGGATCTCTCAAGTAATTTAGAAGAAATCTCTGGTACATTGCAAATTTAAGCACTATTTTGCTGTTTAAATCACGAATGAGGGAAATGAGAAAAATCCTCGCCAACGAAGGCAAAACGTAAAAAATTTTCACGAGCTAAACATCACCCTTTAGTATTCAGAAATTCATATTCAAAATTCCATTCAGATCTGTTCAGTGCCCTGGAAGAAATGGCTGGTACACTGCAAATTTTGGCATGTTTTGTCATATAACTCACGAATGAAGGCGATATTAAAAAAATTGTCACAAGCTTGACATCACCGTAAGGCCATAATGAATATGTGTACCAGTTTCATCGAGATACATTCAGTACTTTGGGAGATATTCCAGGTACACTGAATTTGGACAATGGCCGCGAGTCCGGCCATAAATTTGTCCGAAACGTCTCATCACATACATGACAATGAATCGGCATTGCGTTAAAGTATATAAAGACGATGTTGGGAATTTCTGATGACAGTTATGTCTAGACATATTTTATTTACAAAAGATTTCGCACTCAAAACTATTTTCCATAAATTACAATCATGAAATCATTTTTGACTCCTTTCATTAACCATAGAATCTTTAATAACCCTATCAGCGCACTAATAGTATATATAGAACGAGCTAAATCTGTCCTTTAACACTAATATTTGTTTACTTCAGTCTTCATATGCCCAATTTCTGAGGACTTGGTTATTCACCACTTGCCTCACGTCCGGACAGAATATTGCCTCACTTCCGGACGGTCTACGAAAGGTAAACAAACGATGTTTGTCAGTTCGTATAAGAAATTTGCCATGCCTGTATTTTTGCCATGCCTGTATTTTTGTTTTCAATGGGTTTGCACCGCACAAACCCATTTCTCCATCCGGGAGGATGTCGGGAATGTAACGTATTCCTGACATTGACATTCAGGTTTGTACTATTTGGCATTTGCCAAAGTCAGTCCTTCGTTAGAAGGAGCCAATCTGGAGCCATGTGGAGTGTTGCCTTCTACTATTCAGTTTTGTAATTAATTTCCAACAAAATTGTTATCTATGAATAAGAAATAAATAATCATAACATTGCCGACTCATAGAAACTGAGTTAACACATTAGAAATCTAGTCAATGTGATGCAGATATTGTTCGTGTGTGATAAGTGTTGCCGCGCATTCATCTTCAAACAACTTTAGGAGCACGGCGCACGGCGCAAATTGATACAATGATAATAAAAATTCCCATGCACTTGGCACATCTTCCTGACTGTGGATCACTATTTGGTAGAGCAAGTTCAACTTTCAACTCTGACACATTTTTCAATGATCTCATTGGGTGGCATGCACCGTCTCTCTTTGGATCTCAACATTTTCCCGCTAGATGGCCCAGACCTAGTGTTTTGGCAGTAGTTTGATGCGCAAATGTATGACGTCACTATTTCAACCATCAACGAATGCATGGAACTAAAAGAAAGCTTAATATAAAGGAAAAACTAGAGAGGTGACGGAATTACCTACGAAGACGGAATATACCGTACCGCGTTTACCCTATCATTAAAGACTGCCACTCAATATATTTACCTAAATATATGAAAAAAATGATAAATAAAAAAAAATAAAAAAAATAAAAAAATCAAGTGATATAGGTAATCACATGATCTACCGTCAATGCCACTAAAGTCGCCACCTCACTAAAGTCGCCACGCTACAGAGAAAAGGAAATATTAAAATGGACCCAATTCAAAAATTTCATTACCATATGAAAATACTAGAACATTTATTAATATTGCTTGAAGTTAGTATAATGCATTTCCGACATTTAATTTGTAATTAGTTCTGAGATTACAAATCAACATGTTGAAAATTCTGCAACAAGCGACACGAATTTTTTCCTTCTCCTGTCTGCACTGCACTTGGGCGATGCTTTATTGCCGAGAAAATGTTTTCCGTACAAGCTCGGGGTCATTCCGAGCTGAAACGCAATAAGAAGAGGTTCATTTTGCTTGTACTCAAAATTTTAGAGACATTTTAATTTGGTCAATAATTTATTCTATATATACCTGGCGACTTAAGTGCATATTAATTTGGGATAAATGGCGAGGTTTGTGTAGGACGTTTGCTTCATGAGGCAGGACTTGAAGGATAATTTTCGTTGCTAATTTATACCAACAATGCAATAATTGTGTCAGAATGTTGCCTAAAATAATTCAAGAATCATTCCCCATTCATGTTCTTCCGCACAGAATTAGCAATTATTTTTTAAAAACTCTGTAAAATTACTTCAAAAGTCGCGCACGACACTCTTGCATCGATCGGAGTTACGCGAACGAAGTGTACAGTGCTGCATTGAAGTGTCTGAGCTTGTTTGAATAAGCATAAACGAGTCAACTTTCTTACACATAGTCTTAACAAGGTAAACTACCTCATTAAATCTCATAAAACGAAGAGATTAAAACAAATAAAAACAATGTAAAGCACTTTTATAAACTTTAAATTAGAAAACCCACGTTGGATGATAAATATTTACGTATGTTATTTTGTGTGATCAAAATGCTACCTGCATTTGTTCATGTATGTTAATACAATTATTTTGGGTCATATAAGAAGACTTCAAGAAAAGGAACAAATATAAGATTGTGGATGCATAAGGACATGGATTGGGCTCTTGCAGCCTGCAGAGGTTAGAATCTTCCCAAGTTTGCCGCTCCCCGTACGTTCAATGTGCCACGCATGACACTCAGATCACCTCTCGATATTAGTCAAGGAATACTGCACCAGGCAAACCAACCGTGTTGTCAGCAGAGCACGAGCTGTCGCTCTATAATCACATTGAATATGTGACAAATAGATATTTTCCTATGACCATGCCCAAAATTTCAATGTTTGCCTGGTGCATTGATTGCAGGTCCAAGAGACATTTTTGGAGAGAGAGGCCTCGCTACTGACGCTACGCATGGGGGTTGAAGTTTAGTTCCAGAAAGCCTGAGTCGGTCAAACATCGGAAAGCTGAATGCTTAGATTGCGCCCGAGAAATTTTTTAAACAAATGAAAATTGGATCGATTCTTTAGGATTACTGCAAGAAGCTCATGAACGTGATAACGTTAGTTAAGGTCCCCATGACATGGTGTTGGTGGACCTCAACAAGTCCTCGCAGAATGTTGTCTTGCCTCGGCGAGTGAAGAATTCCCATTCTTGACACATGGCATAACAATAACACAGAAGCATCGATTGCTGCGTTTCACCATACTGCGTTGCAATGGCTCCAATGATCATTTTTAAAGCCGCATTTCCAGGAGGCAACTAATTAAGCTACTGAGGTGTCTCCGACGAAGCTTTGAACAGCAAACAAGCAACTGTCTCTGTGGATTGTGAACTTGTCCTACGGTGGCTCACACTAAAATTTTTGGCATTTGCTCAGCCATTAACAGATGAACCAATAATTCTGCTGCTCGATGGCCACGCCATCGAATCAAGGAATCATTATATGCCCAGTATAGACATAGCATTGCAGAATTTTCACAGCTTGTTGTGGTTTCGAACACTTACCTCAGTGCTCTAATTTTGCCGTGCTTAAACCGCCCGGCCTCCTTGCTGATTTGACCAGCTGTAGCATGGTAGCTGGGATCGAACCCCCACCTCACTGCTGCAGTCACGGTATTCTAAACTGTAATACTGGGCCACCTTACCCTTAATTATGTCTTGAATAAGTCGCGTCAATAAGTGGAAACAAGGGAAAAGTGATATGACTAAAACCAAAATTGAAGGTAAATTTCTGTTAATAATGCTACCAATTAATGCGACTTATATTCACAGTACAATGCTCACAGTACAATGCTGCTTTCTCGCTCAAGGCCGAGCGCACGTCCACAGTGTAAGCTGGTCTATGAGCCCCTTTTAAGACACAAAGAACGCATCGATGAACAGCTAAAGAAGCAAAGATTGCAAGAGGCCTTCAACGCGTGCTAACCAATCCTGCGAGGGGTTGCTCGCGCGAGACCTATAAAAACTACTCTTGAGAAAGACCGTTTATGACAAACTCCCTAACTGCTCTTGAAAGAGGCTATTTGCGCAAGACACATTAACCACTCTTGAAAGAGGTCATCTGTGCGAGACCCATTAACCACTCATGAAAGAGGCCGTTTAAGCGAGACCCATTAATTACTTTTGAAAGAGGCAATTTGCGCGAGACATCAAACACTCTTACAAGAGACCGTTTCTGCGTGTATTCCTAACCAGTCCTACATAAGCCATCTACGCATGTCCTAAGTCCTAAACTAACCTCACAGGTGGGAAGAAGACCCAACAAAATTGACACAGTCGTGTACGATACCACGAGCTCTGTAATACGGTGCCTAGGGACTTGGCTGAGAACACAGGACTTCTGTGTACCTAAAGCCCTCGTAGAAAGGGAACAATGTCGAGTTGATGAAGTCGATGGAATACATTAAGGTTGTTCTCTTTATTTCTTGCAAGTCTGCGACCTATTTTTGTGGGTATAGTTACTTGCTTTTAATATTACAGTGTCTGACAGCGACTCTACAAAAGCATTTCATCGGTCAGTGTCTGACTCTACCAAAGTATTTAAACGGTCGAGATCTCCTATTTGCGGGCAATGCGCTCTTTCTGTCGGCCGCGATATTTGCCCCCGAGTTAAAGATGGGGTCGGGAATTACATTTTTTAGGTTCAAAGATATTGTTCACGCTACGTACAAAGAAATTCGCACTCAGGGTGAATTATGTTCGAATTGCTGACCACTAGTGCTACACTAGGTACATGGTATGATTGGTATCAGAATAATTTTTCATACGCGTTCATCCATAAGGTGTATTTTTACGATAGAGTAGAAGCGAATGAATGGAATGAACACTGAGCAGCCCTCCCAACATCGATGCAGTGAAAAGGACAGCCTCTACCAGTCACGAAATTACATCTTAGTGGAAAATGGAAATCCACTGAAATATGGTAGCTAGAAGAAAGACATATTCCTTTGGGTTTCGTTTATTTTCGACCAAAAGCAATATGTTAATTTTTTCCATTAATTTGTTGAAGAAAGACCGAAGTTGGAGGGTTGGTTCCGCGTGAATTTTAGGCTTTCTCTACTGTACCTTACGTCCACTGTGCAGAGAGTGGATGAATATTGCAAGATCTTTGGCGACGCTTCAGTAGCCAAATTTTTGCCTTCAGAAGATCTTGCCGACACATTTAGATTGAAATTCTTGCATTTAATATATTTCTCAGTCTTCGGCCAACTATTTAGAAAAAAAGTAGGGTAAACGCGGTATATTCCGACACATTAAGGACGCATAGAGAAATGAAAAACTATAAAAAAAACGTATGCGTTACGTAAGTTCTGTTGCCTTCACATGACTCTCAAAACACTTCACTATGCGTCAGCAACGATGAAACGTCACAAAATGTTGCCATATTTATTAAAAAGCCTTTAGAATGGAAACCTACCAAATCCCTATATTCCGTCACTTTGTGTGGCAACATCC